CAGTGACTGAGCAGAATGTTGAAACGGAACCCTGTCCACTGTCATTGCCGCAGACCTGTAGCAGCTGTACGTGCTGCTGGGTGAGGTGGTGGTGCAGAAAATGTGGTCCGTTGATGACTTCAATCGTGGCTGCTGTGTCGCCGTTGTACCCGGCACACCTGCGTGCGTGTGCATTTGGGTCATGGGAAGAAACAGCAAAGGTGAAATGTGCGTGAGTGTTTGTGTGTGTTTGTGTGTGTAAGTGTGCGTGTGTGTGTGTGTGTATACATACGTGAGTGAAAGGGCGTGCCTACACGCACACAAACATCCGCATGCATAAACATAGAACACACGCTGACACAGAACGCCAGCAACTCACGCGTCCAATGTTGCAGTCCTCAGCGAGGGCCTGCTTCCAGCGCATGCCAAAGAAGTCGATACCGTCCTCATCGCGCTCATCAAGTGGTTCGCGGCAGTCGACAGTCACCTGGGCATGTGTGCACGTGCGTGTATCACAGGGTGTGTGTGTGTGTGTGTGTTCGTGTGTTTGTGTGGGTTTCGGGGAGATGAAGTTGTGAGAGACGTCACACAGACTCATGGCTGCTGCAAAGCCTGGTGTCAGACAACAGAGAGACGACCGGCAACGAATGAACGCTCATGCACACAGAAGCAGTACACATGCGCCACGTGGCTGACGTGCGCACCTCAAACGTCGTGTCGAATGTGGTTTGGACGCAACTGGACACGGCGACGCAGCCGTTGGATTCCGTGTCGTTGCAGCGGTACACCTTGAGGCAATCTGGCATGAAGGGAGACGAAGAGAGAAAGAGTGATGAGAAGGGATGTGCGGCAAGGCAGATGACAACAACTTTGAGGGATTCGTATCATTGGTATACAAACGTGTATTGTCCCATGCATACACGCAAGCACACAGGTTTGAACTCTGAACGACAACGACAGCAATCATGACAGCCATTGATGCTCACGCACCTCCGGTGTCGCACGCCTCGAACTGGCGGCACTGACACGCGCCACCTGTAAGTAGTGAGTCGAGGCCCAATGAAGTGGCAGGGATGAGACCAAGACTCGACACGGACCGACAACGGCAGGATGTAACAAACTTGCAAGCGCACAGGCACGCGCAGGCACACTGACCAAGAGTGCATCGGGAGCGTGAGAGGCCAGAAGCCTGGCCCCTTTCAAAATGATAGCCGGTGGACGATGGGGTCAGCATCACACAGCCATCAATGCCCTGAGAGCCAATGTGTGATCCAGGATGGAGAAGTGTCGGGAGGGGTTAAAAACAGAAGTGCGTGAAACAGAGAGAGAGAGAGAGAGTGTGTGTGTGTGTGTGTGTGTGTGTGTGTGTGTGTGTGTGTGTGTGTGTGTGTGTGTGTGTGTGTGTGTATGTGCAGCATGCGCAGAAGAACTGGAGACAGGACAAGGTTGGTCGGTAAACCCACAATCACATCACACACACACACACACACACACAATCACACGTGAACGCACACACACACACACATACATGCGCATGCGCACATGCACGCACACATGCACACGATACCGCGTCTGCGAGAAAGTCTTCCAAGGTGAGCTCATCGCCCAGGTCGAGGATGGCATCAGAGACACCAAAGTTGGCCACAAGTAGAGCAGCAGCGACCACAAAGGCAGCCATGCGAGCGCTCGCGCTCGAGAAAGCCATATCAGTGGCCGACATTGTCTCGTAACGATGAAACAGAGAGCAGAGACAAGGGAATGGCGACAGAAGGCGTTTGATGTGCGAGCGCGAAGAATGAACGACGCAATGCATGCGCTTGTTCCCCTTGTTCGGTCGGTTGGCTGAGAGCAGACGACATCGCCGCGGTTGGCTGGCTGTGTCGCGCTCACTGATTGTCGGTTGCGGTTGGGTAGCTGTTGGGTGTCGGGTGTGACATAACGCACTGCGCAGGTGGGGCGGTTCACAATTGTCGTTGCATCCCATGTGCACGTCTGTCTGCTCTTCCTCGTGGCGATTCGCAACTTCGTTGCTTCAAGGCTTGCTTGCATGCAAGCAAAATCAGTCCGTTGACGTTTACAATGGCAGGAATGCAGCGAGGCCGCCGATTCGCTCGCGGAGTGCAACAGCGGACGCGTTGTGCGCAGGACGGTGATGGTGACTGCAAGCAAGCATCTCTCTCTCTCTCTCACTCGCTTGCTTGCTGCGTAGCTGCGGGATTTGTACTGGACGTTGGACAGACAAACAATGAGTGCAGAGGAGATACGAAACCAAGCGAACCGAAACGAAAAGAAGCACAAGCAAAGCATGCAAGGAGAACACTAACCACACACAAATATGTGCGCGCACGCTGGGCAAGCCAAGCAGTCAACGTGAGCTGAAAGCACAGCATGGCCAATGCGCAAAGAAGTAAAGAAATGAACACACACTCACGCACGCGCGCATACACACACACACAAGAAAGACAGACAACCAAAGGACATGGGCACGGCATCGCAGCACAGTGAAAGGGTTAATTAAGGCTTGGAATGAGATGAAGGAAGCGGATGGGGTAGAGAGAGGAGGGCGAGGTGGAAGGCAATATGTGTGTGTGTGTGACAGGGAGGGAACAGTGCGGGGGAAGAGGCTGAGGGGGAGAGGGAGAGGAAGGGGCGGGAGAGCAAGACGAATAAAGAAATGG